GGAATTGAAAGGAATGGAGGAACTCAAGGTAATTACAATTACAGGTAGTTCTCCTATAATGCGATAGTTGCATTCTTGCGTGATGTCACACTATTGAAAACCGCTGTAGAAAATTGCATTATAGGGAAATCGCTACAGAAAATTGCTATACCTGTTCAGCAGAAGGTTTGCTTTATCCACTATTCATCAATCATGTTACAGCCAATTTGCGTTAACGAAACACGCGTTATAGCAGAACTACCTGTAACAGGGAACTAATAATGGCTAAATTGTTGGGATGGCGAGTTGAAAAGTCCCTGGGTTCTAATGGATTCATCCTAGGATTTTACAAAGTAGCTTGTGAGATAGTTGATGCATTTTGTAACTTACCAAAACTCATTAGATTTAGGGAAAGTTCCTTTAGATTGGAAAATAGCTAATTTAACTCATTTATTTAAAAAGTAAGGGAGGTAGAAAGTGTGAAACTACATGCCAAACGTCTTAACGTCTGTCATTGGGTAAATGTTAGAAGCTACTAATAAAGATGTTATAACAAGGCGCTTGAATAAGTTCAAGATAATCTGACAGAGTCACAAAGTTTTGTTAAAGGGTAATCATGTTTAACTAATATATTGGAGTTCTTTGAAGAAGTAACTTGTGTTGTAGATAAAGAGGAATCAGTGATGTGTTGTATTTATATTTCCAGGTGCCATGTCAAAAGGTATTGCAAAAATTAAAAGTTCATAATGTTGGAGGTAACATATTAGCATGGATAGAAGTCAATACAGCGTGGAGCTGGAGGAACACAGCAGCTCAGGCAGCATCAGAGGAGCAGGAGAGTCAATGTTTTGGGTTGAGACCCTTCAACAGGACTGGGGAGGGGGAAGGGAGCTGGGAAATAAATAGAGAGATACTTAGGTGGGGAGTTCCTGGATCTGGGGGAAAAGACAAAGTCAAGGTAAGCGGAGATGAGTTCAGAGTGCCAGGAACAGGCAGAGTCAATGGGGCAGTCAGTTTCATGGATTTTGGGAAGGAGATAGAACTGGTGCAGGGCTGGGGAACAAATGAGGTTGAAGGCTGTGGGTGGGAGGTCTCCTGAGGTGATTAGGCTATGAATAGTCTGAGAGATGATGGTTTGGTGATCGGGGTGGGGTCATAATTGAGGGGGCGGTAGGAGGAGGTGTCAGAGAGTTGGTGCCTGGCCTCCATAATGTAGAGCTCAGTATGCCATACCATTACTGTGCCCCCCTTATCCACAGGTTTGTTGGTGAGATTGGGGTTGGAGCGGAGGACTGCACATTCTACTGGGGAGAAGTTGGAGTAAATGAGAGGGATAAAAAGATTGAGGCAATTGATGTCGCAATGGCAGTTGGAGATGAAGAGGTCGAGGGAGGGTAGGAGGCTGTGGGGTGGTGTCCAGGAGGATGAGGTTTGTTGGAGGTGAGAGAAGGGGTTGGCAAAGGGTGGGTTAGACTCCCGGTCAAAGAAATAGGTGCAGAGGCAGAGGTGGCAGAAAAAGAGTTCAACACCCAAACCTGTATGGAATTCATTGATGTGTGGGCGCAGGGGAATGAAGATCAGTCCATTGCTGAGGACTGACCATTCGTCCTCAGTGAGAGGGAGGTCTGGGGTGATGGTGAATACTCCACCTATGTAAGGTTGGCCCATTGTCTCTGCCAGCTCCTACCCCACTGAACTCATCTCCGCTTGTCTTGACTCTGTCTTTTTCCCACGGTCCAGGAGCTCCCAACCTACGTAACCTCCCATCCACAGCCTCCAACCTCATTGTCCCCCAACCCCGCACCGCCTAGTTCTATCTCCTTCCCAAAATCAACAAACCTGACTGCTCTGGTCGACCCGTTGTCTCTGCCTGTTCCTGCCCCACTGAACTCATCTCTGCTTATCTTGACTCAGTCTTTTCTCCCTTAGTCCAGGAACTCCCCACCTACGTATTGCTAACTCTGGCATGGAAAGAAGATTGGCTGGCTAACAGGAAGCAGAGACTAGGAATAAATGAGATAACAAGGTGTAGAGCTGGATGAACACAGCAGGCGAAGCAGCATCAGAGGAGCAGGAAGGCTGACGTTTCAGGCCTAGACCCTTCTTCAGACCCTCCTACACCTTGTTATCTCAGATTCTCCAGCATCTGCAGTTCCTACTACCACTAGGAATTTCCTTTTCTAGACTGGCAACATAAGTGATATGTCACAGCAGTCAGTGCTGGGTCCTCAACTCTTCACAATTTATGTAAATGATTTGGATAAAGGGACCTAAGGTATGCTAGCTAAATTTGCTGATGACCAAAAAGTAGGAGGAAAGTAAGTTGTAAAGAGGCCATAAGAAGCCTATAAAGGGTTCGGTGAGCGGACAAGGATCTGTCAAATGGAGTATGCCGTTGGAAAGTGTGACATTGTCCATTTTGAAAGAAAGAATAGAAAAAGGCTTATTTACCTAAATGGTGAGAGGTCACAGAACTCTTGAGATCAGGAGAGATCTGGGTGCCTTAATGTATGGATCACAGAAGGTTAACATACGGATGCAGCAAGTAATCAAGAAGGCTAACAGAATGTCATGGTTTATTGTAAGGGAAATTAAGTGCAAGAGTAGAAAGACTATGCTTCAGTTATACATGACATTGGTGAGACTGTATCTGGAGTACTGTGTACGGTACTGATCACCATACTTATGAAAGGATATTAATGTGTTGTAAGCAGTACAGAGAAGGTTTACTAGACTAATACTCGAAATGAGTGCCTGGAATGTGGTCCATTTAAGACAGAGATTAGGGGAAAAGATCTCTGAGGATTGTGAGACTTTGGAATACCCTCCCTCAAAAGAAAGTGGATGCAGAATCTTTAAATAGATTTACGGCAGATGTAGATAGATTCTTGATTACCAAGGGAATGAAAAGTTATCGGGGATATGCAGGAATGTAGAATTGAGGTTAAAATCAGATCAGCCATGATCTTGAATAGCGGAGCTGGTTCGAATGGCCTAGTGGCCTATTCTTTTTCTTCATTTGTATGCCCTACTGTTTACAGGTGAAATGAAGAATTACTACCTTTCTGTCAGCTTTGCTGCAAGAATCTGCTGCCTCTGGCTGTTATAAACAATTCCCACTTTACCCACAGTTTTACTGAATGTTTCCCAATTCTAGTGGTTTAAGTAAATTATTCCATCCTTTTTCATGGCTCTTGTGTTCTCCAACCTCTTCTGTGACCTGAATAAAATCCTCCAAATTCCTTTTCTTCCTTAGACCAGGTCAGCTTAGGCTTTTAATTTGCTTCATTATTTCTCTGGGTCTGCACTTGGATTAATATTTCCTTTGTGGCCCTATACTTCAGATTCTGTAGCCGTGTTATGATGGCTGCTTGCTAAGGTGGCGGCACTTGATTTGAACTGTAAGTCATTTTTAAAAACGCTTTGCTTTTTAGCTGAGATTACTGTGCTTTTATAAAGTTTCCCTGGCCTGTCTGAAATTTTAAGTTTTGCTCATGGAGCCTCTGATTGTTTTTGCTTACTACTGATCTCTGATTCAGAACTGTTTCCACAGCAATCTTAGCTCCTTTGAAGTTACTAGTTCTTCTCCAGGGCTTTGTTAACTCTACTGTTGATGTGAGTCCCCTACCAGTTCTGAAATGCTTTTACCATTCACTAGAGTATTCTTCCTTGTGGAGGATTGCTATGGGGTTTATTCTGTGGGGTTTTTGAAACTTCAGTCTACTTTGCTGCTGATTGCCGTATGGGCAGGCAAATTAAGGCTGAGTCTGAAGATTTCATGATACTCCTCGTATTGTAGTGTGTTCAGTTAAATCAAATCAGTTCTGCTGCTTACCATTTGTATGTCAATGCCAGTTCAAGATACTGTTTGATCTACTGCTCATAATGCAAGTTGCTGCTACCATTCTATTTAAACACGGGAAATACATGGCCTCCTTGCTTTAAAGTAGGCAAGGCAAACTACTTCCTTGTCTAGCTTGTTGCAGTTAGCAAGATATAATTTATTGTATGTTAGGATCTAACCACAGGTTGCATTGATATGATAGACATTGCAACAGGGATTTTGGGGAGAACTGAATGTTAGATCTCACTCCTTTGAAATTATAAGCTGCTCTGCCCACAAGTCCATATGAAATCTTCATAATGGGTGGTGCTTGTGGCATTCCTTCATATTAACCCTTTCAGACCCATCTATGACAGATAGGAGATCCGAATCTGGAGGTGACGGATAACATTCTTTCAATAGTAGATGGATCAAGGTAAAGATGGAGGCAGACAATTTCAAAATAATTGTTATGATGGAGGTGATGTGATGTCAGAAGCTTAGTTCAATGCCAAAAAGGATGCTGAGCTTGCTAGCAGATTTTATCAGACAGGGATAGAGTCAACAACAGGAGCACAAAGTTTATAGTGGAAACCAAAGTCATCACTTTGGTTATTCCAGAGGAAGAAATTTAATATGTACAGGGCTGGAAATCATACAAACAGGCTAACAACATAGACTAAAGAGTTAGGAGTGGGTGGCGGAGAGATACAGCTGTGTGTTGTTCACATCCATACCATATTCAACCTCAAACGAAAACAGAAATTGCTGGAAAAACTCAGCAGGTCTGGCAGCATCTGTGGAGAGAAATCAGAGTTAACGTCTCGGGTCTAGTGACCCTTCCTCAGATCTCTTGACTCAGCAAATTAGGTTAAAGAAAAGAAGCAATCCATTTGATTTAATATGAACGTTAAGAATATTGAACAATAATTATTTAAATACTTGTATTTAACAATAGTAATTATGCTGTTGGGCTGTGGTAGGTAGATCCCTGTCTGATTTCATTGAGGCCTTGTTGACTGATTGACTGAATTGAAGATATTAATGTTATGCACGATGTGAATTCAGTGGGATTTCCATTTTCACCACCCTTTTCTGCCTCCTGGAGGAAGGGTGGTGGGCAAGAAATTGGTTAAAAAACCTAGTCTGGGCACACTTTTGTTGTATATTTATTAGTTTTTTTCATTCTTAACATCAGCTTTTGCCTCAGCTTCCTGGTAATAATGGGTCACCAGCACCAGATCCCAGAAAGCAGGTTCGTCAGCAACGGTTTGATCACCTTCCTACCATCTGACAATCTCTATCAAGCCTCAGTACGGTTCTGAAGTGAAACAGAAACATCTAGATGTTATGTACACAAGAAAGATTCTGTATATGACTGAAGTGGTGATATGGATACAATTTTGCTTTGTTTTACTTTCTGTAAATATGATTCATATATACAATAATTAAAAACAACAAACCATGTTTCATATAAAAATGTTCTTGTTCATTTTTCTTAGTTAGGTTGGGAGGTTAAATGGGGCATTAAAAATACAAATTAAATTCTGTGATAGAGGTGCACAATAGACAAAGGTTAATGTATGTGATTGTCTACACAGAGTAAGTGTTCTCAGGTTATTCAATTGTGGCCTTTTCCTTAATATAATGAGCAAATTTTTCAAAAGGCAGAGAAATTAGATTTCCATCCGAAGGCTTTTTGGAATAAGATTTGGAATAAATGTTTGAAAAAGTCTTTCAAGCCTCATGTATGTAGATGAGATGCAGAGAAGTTATTTGGCTATCTCTGAATCATATTATAGAGAATAATTCCATCTATTGATACTTTTAACTTTTTACAAAATTCTAAATTATAACCTAACAAATATTATTTCAGAACTTTTCCTTTTTTTAGTGGGGGGCTTGCTGACAGTTGATATGTGTGGAATGGCTCTTGCTACAGATAGGACAAGTCATTTGCAACAGTTGACTGCTGTTTACAGCTTGCTAATGTGCTGGTTGTGGGCTACCTGTAGGTTTTTTTTGGATCTGCTCACTGAATCATTGTGTTTTGTGTGTCTTGACTGATTAATTTTATATGTACAACTCAATGATGTGGAATAAAAGGTATTGATATAACTGCACTAAATAATGCATCACAAATCAAAGTAATCTTAGAGTGGCAACTCCAGACACACAAAGATAAATTCCTATCAACAATTTATGGTTTATTCACTTTCAAAAAATTGCCACTGTAACAATGTCTATAGGGTAGTATGTAATAGGAATAATATATAATCAAAGGCAAAAGGTACATAAAGAATTGACCAGAATGATAGCAGGGATGAAAGGCAACATTTATGAAAGAGCTCTTTACATGAATGTTCACAGCATTCATAACAAGATGGATGAATTGATAGCACCAATAGAAATAAATGAGTATGCTGTGACACTCATTACAGAGTCCATAGATGAAGAAATGTTCTAACCAGAAGGATGCACCATTCACGGCTAACCGCGAAAGTTAGGATGGTACCAAATGGAAGGAAAAGACATGCATTCCTGCAAAAAAATTAGTGATGGATCAGAAGATTGGAGAAGTTTTAGAAATCAACAAATGATAACCAAACATATAGTCACTAGGAAGATTTTGGACTATGAGGGGGAAAATAGCAAGAACTATAAAAATAGACAGCAAATGAAAAAATGAGCTAAAATGAACAGTGGGTCCCTGAGACGGTGAGACTGAAAAATTACCAGTGGGAAAAGAGGAAATAGAAAGTTTGGAATTAATGGGTTATTTTCAGGATGGCAAACTGTAATCTAGTGGACAGTCCCAAGGAAATGTGCTGGGGCCTAAATTATTTATAATCTATAGTAATGACTGGTATGAAGTCACCAAATATATTGCGTCTACCTATGATGACAATACACAGACAAAACCATAACCCTATTGTAGATAGATAGGAAAGCAAGTTGTGAGGAGGATACAAAGAATTTGCATATGAATATAGATAGGTTAGGTGAATAGGCAGATAAAATGGCAGATAGAAAAGAACATAGAAAAATGTGAGCTTGCCCATTTTTGGCAGGAAGAAAAGCAAAGCTGAATATTATTTAACTGGACAGACCATTGTACACAGGTATCTGTGTCCCTGATGCACAAAGTGCCAGCATGCAGGAACTGTGGTGATTGTAATGAAGTCAGCCAGGTGGACCTCATAGATATGAGTTCCCTGATTGGGGCTGTTAATCTGGTCCAATCAGGGAGCCCTGGCTGTCAGATATAAACAGGAGTGTCAGGGGTTCTGTTCACTCTGAGAGCTGGCTCTGAGGAAGTTGGATCAGCATTAAGGACACTCCATGTAAATAAAGGATGATTTGGTGATGGGATACCAGCTTCTGTGGAGTTATTTCAGGAACTGCAAGTAATTATAAAGACAAATTGAATTTTGGTCCTAATTGCAAGGCAGATGGAGTATAAAAGTATGACAGTTTTGCTACAATTGAAGAGGGCATTGGTGGGTTCACACCTAGAGTACAATGTACAGTTTTGATTACCTCATTTAAAGAGTACATATTTGTGTTGGGGAATGTTGAGAGAAGATTCATTGGGCTGATTCTTGGGATGAAGAATATGTCTTATGAAGAAATATTGAGCAGGTTAAGTCTATGCTCAATGGTGTTTATAAGAATGAGAGATAATTTTATTGAAACATACAAGATTCTAAGAGGACCTTACAGGATAGAAGATGATAGGATGTTTCCCCTCATGGGGAAGTGTTAAAGTAAGTGGTCTCCTATTAAGATGGAGATGAGAAGAAATTTCTCACAGAGGATCATTAGTCTTTGGGAGAAATTTGACAATAAACACTGAGCCATTGAATATATTCAATACACGCCAGCACAGTGGTGTAGCAAGAATATGTGTGACCCCTAAACCAGAGATCAATGGATCAGAACCATCCTCTGCTAGTGAGAGTCGGAATAGGAAGATAGGCCAGATGCATGTGGTGCACGGGGCAGGGATACAGATTTTTGGATCATTAGGATCTCTTCTGGGGCAGAAGTGACCTGTACAAAGAGATGGATTGCATCTGAACTGGAGGGGGCAAGGATCCTGGCGGGGAGATTTGCTAAAGCTGCTCGGGAGTGTTTAAACTAGCCTGGCAGGGAACGGGCCCCTAAGCAGTAGTGAGACCAGAGTGAAGGCTGAGGCTGGTACACAAGTTAAAGACAGCAAGTTAAATATACAAGGCAGGCAAGAACATAGAGGGAACAAGGGAAGACTGATTCATTTATTTCAATGCAAGAGGCCTTATAGGTAAGGCAGATGAATGCAGAATGGATGGGAATATGGGACTGGGATATCATAGATATTACAGAAACATGGCTGAGGGAAGGATAAGACTGGTAGCTCAATGTTCCAGGGTTCAGATGTGTTGGGGAGTGACTAAATAAATCAGTCTGTATCCAAAATCCACTTCCAGCATCAAAGAATTTATTGAGATTACATGAGTGGGAAGGAACCTCTGGGGGTCAGAAGCTTTTTCAATGATCAAAGGAAAAACATAAACTTCTATACATTTGTTTTCAGCCGGCCTTTGACTATTACAAAGAATCAGGTTAATCATGTGACTGCATGGTCAGAGATGGTCAGCCTTATGGACAACTTTTTATTTAAAAAATATACTTTATTCATTAAAATATCTTTTTATATATCACACACACATATACACAGTCACAAATGCAGTTTGGTTCTGTGTAGTAGCATATGAAGGAACAAAGAAACATTGGAGTTTGATTCAATCCAACAAAACAAACCCAATGCATCTCTTTCTTGTGCAGGATTATATTTACATATATTTGAGGCACTAGGAGGGTCCGATAACAGATACCCATTTTACTTCAGCAGGAGGACCTCAGATGGTCTTCTTTCCCCACTGTTCCTTGATAGCAGCTGTCCCAATCTTTAGTCAGTCCCTCAGCACGTAGTCCTGAACCTTGGAATGTGCCAGTCTGCAACACTTGGTTGAGGTCAGCTCTTTGTTCAGGAAGGCCAACAAGTTTTGGGCAGACCAAAGAGTGTTTTCCACCGCGTTGATGGTCCTCCAGGTGCAGTCGATGTTTGTCGCAGTGTGCATCCTGAGGAACAGACCGCAGAGCACAGGGTGCTTTCTCACAGAGCTGCTCAGGATGAACCTCAACAAAAACCACTGCATCTTTTGCCAGACTTACTTTGCAAAGGCATTCCAGAAGAAATGCAATAGTCTCTATACCCCTGCAGAAGCTTTGAGGGCAACATACTTTGGTGCAGACTGGATGTGCATGAAGGTAGTGCCCTTCTTACCACCAACCAAGTGATGCCTTGGTGCTTGTTGGAAACTTCTGGTAAAGAGGCACTCTGCCAAATGACTTCGACAGTCTGCTCAGGGAACCATGTGATAGGATCTACCTTTTCCTTTTCCTGTAGGGTCTCAAGGACGCTATGTACTGATCACATACTAATGGACTTGTGGTCAAAGGTGCTCCTGTTTGCAAACTTATCCAAGAAGGACTGGTGATATGGAACAATCCAACTATCTGGAGCGTTCCACTGCAACAAGGCCAGTCCCATCCTTCACAACATCAGGGACAGGTAGAATCTCAGTACATAATGACCCACTTGGTGTTTGCGTACCGAAGATCTAAGCAAAACTTGATGCAGCCACACACAAAGGTAGCCATCAGGATGAGGGTGGCATTGGGTACGTTCCTACCTCCCCCATATCCAGAGTTTTGTACATGTGTGTCCCTGTGGACACGGTCCACCTCAGACCTCCAGATGAAGTGGAAGAAGGTTCGGCTGACTGCAACGGTACTGGTTCATGGTATGGGCCAGACATACACCACGGACAACAACAAGAGAGAGTGCCTCACACCTGATGACCAGGGTTTTACCTGCAATCCAGAGAAAGTGGTACTCCCCAAAGCCCAGTTTCTGCCTCACCGTAGCGATATGCTCCTCCCAAGATTTTGCATATGACCTGGCCCTTCTAAACCATATTCCCAGCACCTTCAGATAATCAATCAGTCAGCCCATGGGAGATACCTTGATCTAAAGTCTGGGCTGAGAACCTTCATTATCAGAAGATCTTGAGATCATTGGATGGTCATGTGAGCATAACCTTGAGGATTGTCGGTTGAACTGAGCTGAAATTGGTGGATCTTTATGCTGTTTTTGGCCTAACACCAAATCAGTGACCAGCCAACCAAAGCCATGGCCTCTGATCGTGCCTGCACTCCAGGCCAGGGAGTTTGCAATTCAATCAGGGTGACTGTGAAGAAGGTGGAGGTAGGATTGCCAGTCG